AAAAGCCCCCTTTTCAGCTTTTAAACCTCCCCACCGATCAGAAAAAACCAGTAAGCATCAATCATCTCGACTGTCTTTGCTCACGTCCAGACGAAACGCTTTATTCGACAACCGTTTTACTTACCAACACTCGAATTTTGTTAATCAGTGACCATGATGCACTCTTCTACTCTCTTCGACACAATATACGACGACGACGCTCCCATGATCACTCCCACTGGTGTATACACAACCGAGGTCTATCCAGAGGCGTTCATCCCCTCATCCAACTCTTCCTCCCAAACATCCTCTCCCAACGTGTCTCCCACAATTACTCCTCGTGAACATTTCGAGGACAAGGACCTCAACGGGTTTTCAATAACTCCTACACCTGCGAGAATCATTCGTAAGCCCAGTAAGACGAGGGTGGCTAATCGCAAGAGTGTTCTCTTGGATCCAATAGTCGAAGAGCAAGAGAAATGAGATGGTTGAAAGTGTTGGTGAAGCGCAATGAGTTTTGTTTTCTGTGGATGGATCGATTGGATGATGTGTTTGTTCTTTGACTTTTGTTTGTACATACACTCTGTGTATACATGCAACAAGTCTTTAATCTTTTTCTTCTCTCCCCTCCCCCTCTTTTCCAATTCGTTGCTATATCGTATGTTGTGCTATTTTCATCCTCATTTCGTCGTATTATCCCATACTCTACTTGATAGCTCCATCTATTACTTAGTCACATTTCTTTTTTTCTTTTTTTGTATATTCTAATTCATGCATTCAACAAGTATTTCAAGGAATCCCATATTCTATTTGTATATACCAAAGCCATCATTATTTGCGCTCATGTTCAGCATCTCATTATTCACATATCTTTTGTATTGATATAATTTCTTTTGACATCAATGCTTTTATTCTGATCTGTTTACCTCAAAGCACGATCATGCTTTTATTCCGATCTGTTTACCTCAAAGCATGGGTCATATTCTATCACATATAACGAGATCTGCGTTGTATATTCACGTTATATTGTCGATTGGGTTTTTTGATTACGCATGAGACTGGCATTGATAGTCTCGAATGTAACAAGAACATCTGCTCTCTCTTCATTGAATAAAAATGCTCCTGATTGACATTGAATAAAAATGCTCCTGATTGACATTGAACAACTGAATCTATTACCATGTGAATGAGATTGCACGTTCTTTCGTTATGACAGAATGCGCCTCACTTAAATTCTGTGTGAATTAGGTGACAAAGATGCATTTTACGTTTGCAGTTTAGGTTTGGGCAAATTTATTTGTAATAATTTCATATGCTAAGCTAGCATTAGTTAGTGCACACGATTAAGAAGGGGGTTTCATTATTTTATAATATTGCGTTTTGAATTTAGTATATTGTTACACTATTACTATTACTATTAATCAACAATAAGAACTGATTGTTAACTACAGGATAATACATTACAATGAACAGCCTGTCAGCGTATTGTTAAAGCACCCGAACAAGCAATGAGGACATAAAACATGGCATATAAGCTATCAATTTATAACCGAATGAAGCTAATTGAATAGCTAATACTAAGCATTAGGATCGCCCATTTTCCCACCTCTTATTCTAGAAGTCTCCCATGACGTAATTGTTGCAAGTATAACGATCAAATAAAGTTAATGTAAAAAATAGGGTTCAATAGGCTAGCGAGGACACACAGCATGAGTCGTGAACAGACTTGAAGATTTGCATGTTGAACAAACCTAGCAGTAAAATAATGAAGAGCTTTTAAATTACAAGGCAATCTTACATGTTCGTAGTCTAAGGCTTGAATAGGGTTATTAAAATTTGTAGTTGGATACGTTACTTGCTACATAAAATGCGAGATATTGATTTGACAGGTAGTTTCTTCCATTGCCATATCACGCATTATGCTATGCATATTTGTCCAATACGTATTGTACACTCTCAAGCTTAACAAAGTAAGTCTGGACCTAGCTACTCGTTATATGAAATTGATATTTTAACTATGTTTTCGCGTTTTGTTTTTGTCCTCGCTCGGGAGCCGGTCAAGTTTCTATCTGTTGGAAACGAATTTGTTTAAATCTATTCCGCAAATCACATTCTAAAATTAAAGAATTGATTAAATGGTTTATTTTTGGTATTGCTATCAAAAATACAGAATGCGACAAACTGCTTAGAAAAAAACTCTATCATCTTCCATTTTTGATCTCAACAAACGTGTCACCAGTGAGAAATTCTACTTTGCGAGGGACGGTAACGTAAACACAAGGCTACCTTATGACTTTTCTTATTTTTAATTTTTTGCTATATATAGTACGAGTACTTCTTATGAGGCAAAGTGATTTTGACCAATAAAAGACTCGATCGAAGCCAAGACCACGTATCGATCCAGTTAATGGTCGTTGTTAGACACGCATCTCGAGTGAAAATCTCACTCAATTATCTTTATAGCGAAGAGAAAACGGATCGGTATCGCTTCTTGACTCGCTAGAAAAAAAAAAGTCGGAACAAAGCTTGAATGAGAAAACCGCCGCATAGCGAATTGCATTTCCTCAGTGAAATGGAGTAGTTGCACAGATTGTATTACTGAAGGTCTGACAGTAATAGTAAATCTGTGGGAAAAATTGGGGAAACAACGTTGTGAATGCTAAAAATATGACAATGTTGTGGCTCATCACACAGATAAAGTCACGAATAAGAATCAGTTGCTGTATCTATCTTGTAGTCGTCTTGGCCACATGTAACCTTCTTATGACGGGTTAAAAATATGTCTTAGGGTTGTTCAGAGGCGTCACTTGACTTTTACTCAAACATAATATCAATCAAGGCTAACTCGTGAGCCCACATATATTGTATGATATGCTGCGTAAAGTACCGGTATTTATCTTGCAACCTTGTGCATAAGCCGCATTTAACAAAAAGTATCGATTTATTCAAGTGTGACGAAACAGTCGAATTTTGATATTACGCGTTAGTTATCGATTGAAGCTACTGTAAGTTCAAGTGAACCGTTCTTAACAAACATAACACAATAGAAAATATTTTAAGGCAGTGAGGTCCGGTTTAGCGAATACAGCTTTCTAATGAATTTTTTCCCGAACAAGAATATGAGCATTTTGTTAAACTGGACTTCACTGTGTATAATTATTTCTCTACTTTGTCTCGATATTAAAGAAAAATTTTCAGTCATCATTTACGACGAATGTCAATTAAAAGAGTCGATTTTTGCACAAATACGTGTACAATGTTTGAATCACTTCTGGTCTTTTCCGTGTGGTTAGTCTTCGGACGTTAAGTCTGTCTTGTGAAATATTGAAACTTGCGGAATTTGGAATTTTTTAATAAAATTATGGAAACGTTAACAACCTTTCCTTTGCCAAGTAGTTATATATTCTATTTAAATTGTGAAGTCTTCGTCGTTTAACCTTTTTGATCCTTCTAATTAGTGCCCCCCCCGCATTATGGAGTTAGCCATTGCAATTTGGCAGCAATCCAAGAACGGGTTAATGACTAAGTTATCCCAATTGAGAAATAAATGTTCGTTGATGGTGATTGTTCAAACAGTTTTGTTTACAATACTTATTGCACGAGCGTGATAATTGAAATATAAACAAACTGATTCTGTTTTATAATGCGTTCTTATCAATTTAGCAAGAGTTTGGAAATTGCTGATAAAGCATAACTAACAACTTGATGAGTACACCATATTTGGTGCAGTGGCCTATAGCGATGCGGTGGAAATCGCTTTGTAAGTGGTTTATTATAACCTTTATTTAGGCTGTCTGTAAGCGAATTTGGACCATGAACTAGATGTACGCCTAAAATCCGTTGGTAAATGAGATAAAAAACCATGGTAATAGTTCGGTTATTTGAAATCAATGCTAACCCAACCTTAAACCATATGTTATTGAAAATTAAAGAAAAGCACTCATATTCTTAAGAATATCTAATTCTTGGTTTTTGCATGTTATGCTTTATAGTGAGTTGAATGTCTCAATAAGTTAAAAATCACTTTATTATTTCTTTGTCAGTATATGTTAATATGTTTCTTTGTTTACTACAATTTCTCCGTGGTAATTACATTCTAAAATACCAAAATATTGTGGGTGGTGACAGTTTCTGTGTTAGTGGTATTAGTATTAATATGAACATTTTTAAAAGAATGTCTGCTACGAGTAGTATGATTGGTTTATCCACTAATATGCATAGGACAATAAGTGCCAATTACTACATAACTAAAAGTTTGTATGGGCGGTGACAGTCAGAATAGATTTCATTGTCAGTTTTTCCCACCAATCTTTTGATGACAAGAGGATCGGGCTTCTTTTCTACTGAATGGGTGACTAAGGTAATTATTCTTTTAATATGGAAAGGGTTTATATCGAGTGCGATGTGAGAAATAGGTAATTCGTCGATACAACCTAAGCGGCCAGATAGCTAACTCATCAGACTATGTCATTGCTTGATTAATTACGTGTACATCATAGCCGTTTATGAATACTTTCTATCGGATCGATCCACCAAAATTAAAATATTTGCTGGACATTTTCAGGATTTCCATGATTTCGAATTCAAAAATATTACGACATTGTTCGAGTTTATAATGCAATTGTTAATTAATGTCGCTATCAGACACAGAGTTAAGTGGAGGGAATAATGGAAATGATTATGATGCAGAGTTGAAGTTAGACAAGCAATGGTAGTAGTCAATAGGAATTAAAACGATGTCTTATTTAATTCAGCACATAGACCAATCAAACAGCTAATGGAATATGAGACGTAGATAGCGCGGTCGCGGAAGTCTCTGTCATAAAAATAATCTTGGTAACTTTTGGGGTACGCAGTTCGCATTTCAACTTCGATGTCTTAGTCGCGGTGGCTGATCTTCACGTATCAAATTCGGTTGGTGAGATTATCATACCAATTAAAGAAATTAACTAAATCACCTGACCGTAATAGTAATGAAATATTTTTAAATTAACCTTTTTTGACATTCTTTGTCGATCCAAATGTATCTTTATCATTTAAAGTTTGAGTTATACGTCCCTGCGATAGATCAAGAAACATCTTTCATAGCCGAACACAAAGGAAAATCGCAAGGATTTAAACACTCGTACATACATTACGTTCCCAAAGACATTTTTGCTTCTCTTCCTCACACTGCTTCAGAAACTAGACAGAGACGGCCGCAGCAAAAGGATAATAAAAACAGATCAACAACAGTAGGCGACCCTAAATCTTTGCAAACACTTTCTTTTTCAGATAGTAGTAAGAAATCTTTCATCACCAAGTCAGAAGATCACTCGCCAGCTGTCCCACCTACACCCGCTTCGGAGGAAGGTTGGGTAACTGTTGGTAAAAGAGCCAGGACTACGGCCAGTTCGTCGACCAGTACATCAGCTAGTACGTCATCCATTAAATCAGTTACGCGAAATAAATCCCACGATTTTCGATTTGGCAAACTTGAGATCGAGTGGTTTGATCAGGTTGAAGAAGGGAGTACAATGAGCTCGCAGAAGAATACTTACGCTAGTGTTTTAAAGAGTAAAAATGAAGATACCCATGAGGCTGATGCACGGGTGAGCACAGGGCTCCAAACTACATCATCTCCGGCAACTGCAACAATAGCTACAACTGCAAATGCTATCTCTGATTCGATACCTGTTAATTCCAAATCGCGTTCTTCTGCCAATCACAATGTGATTCCGACAACAGGCGAATTTATTCCTTTAAAATCAGGCGTGACTAATATAAGTTATGGTATATTACACCTATATCGAGGCAAAAAAGAAATAAACTTAAAGGACAATAGTCAATCGTCGCCACAACAAAATACCCAATCACAGTCTGTTGATGAGAATAATAGCATCCACGATACGGCTGGCACCATATTGGCTGTTTTGGCAGTCCCTTCATATATGAGTGCCTCTGACTTCTTGGGATTCGTTGCGCCTGTGAGAAATTACGTCAGTCATTTTAGAATGATTAGGTGAGGATTATAAAAAGTCAGAGACTTAGGCATGGTTTGAGGGTGTCGTGTCGGTTGATAGTTGTAGGCATACAAGAATAGCGCCCGCTAACATTATTGACCTTTGGTTTGTTTGATAGAGACTCTGCCCCAAACAAGTATATGGTATTGATGAAGTTTCGTCACCCGCGAGTGGCGAGAGATTTTTATGATCAATTCAACGGACGGCCATTTAGTTCTATGGAGGTGAGATGTTGGCGCGTGAATTTCACTACTTATTTTTTTTGCCATTATTAAATAACTAACACCTGTTCCATTAAAGCCTGAAATCTGTCATATAGTCTACGTCCAATCCATAGAGTTTCACTCTAGTTCTTTGCCACCATACGCTTTCCCTCTCCTTTATGACCCTTTTAAATCTGACCAAGATAGCTCTAAGACAAAACCGCCAGACGAGACCTCTGCTGCTTCTTCGCTTTACGAATTACCAACATGTCCCGTTTGTCTAGAAAGGATGGACGCAGGCGTCACGGGATTATTGACTATATTGTGTCAGCATACTTTTCATTGTCATTGCTTGAGCAAGTGGGGTGATAGCAGGTGAGAGGAGACGCATGCATGTATGAAATTCTTGATGCGAGTAACATACAAACATTTCACTTACTCGGTAACCCTGTCGACCGTTCACTGTATATCTTATTAGTTGTCCCGTCTGCCGGTATTCTCAGCAGCGGGAAATTCTCGAGGATTCCCTTGAGCAGAATGAATGTGGTGTCTGCGGTGCGACAGAAAATCTATGGATATGTCTTTTATGTGGAAATATTGGGTGTGGGAGATACCAAGAAAAACATGCATATAGTCATTACGAGCAGACATCGCATTTGTATGCTTTAGAATTGGAAACACAGCGAGTATGGGACTATGCTGGGGATGGGTAAGTAGAACCGAGAACGTTTGCTGCGTTAGGGCAATGTATATTGACAAGAAGTGTTTATCAAACGTTTAGATATGTGCATCGCCTTATTCAAAACAAGTCCGATGGAAAGCTAGTTGAACTACCCAGTCCGAATGCGCCCTCGCAAGTCCAGACACCACCCACCGAGCAAGCTGGACAGGTATACAAAAGTTATTCGTTCAATGACGTTTTCACATACTTGCGGAACTTACGTACGACTTGCTTACATGCCAACTTGCAGGATAAAATCGACGCTATAGATCTCGAGTATTCATACCTCTTAACTACGCAACTGTCTTCTCAACGGACTTATTACGAGGAAAAAGTCAACACAATCACCCTTCAGCTCTCATCTCTGTCAGCACAAGTCCAAAATTTATCTGATGAAATGAAAGTACTCAAGAGTGAGAGAGATAAAGCAACAAGTGACAAAAACGTGCTTGAAAAGGAGAGGATACCGAGGCTTGAGAAAGATAAACGGGCTATTGAGAAAAAGTATGAGAAAATAAAAGAAAGGACGGAAAAAGTCGAAAAGGAATACAAGGAGGAGAAAGAAGTAAGTTGTGCTGAATAATAGTGACGTGTTGTATGGGCCAGAATGTTTACCTGAATACTCTTGTTTGATATAGATGACGGCTTCATTATTAAGAAAACAACAATATTTTGAATCCCAGATGGAAGAAAAAGATAAACTGATCAAAGACCTTGAAGAACAAGTTCGGGATCTCATGTGCCATTTCTCTGCTCATAATTCTATGAGAGATAATCCAGAATTAGCAGGAGGAGATATTGCTGTCGGTGAGGCGAATTCCAGTTCACCAGGGAGGAGAAGAAAGGGCAAGAAGTAATTGATTGATGGAAAGATGAGATTTATAAACTGCGAGTTGGGTTGAGGATAGAACATTAATATAATTTAATAGGTGTCTGTAAATATCTATTTTTTTTATGGTCGAGGGTGTCTTCTTTATAGTTTATCATTATTTTGCAAATTGTCGTTATAAGTAGTTATCTCACGAAAGAACTTGTATATCTGAAGTGATATAATTTTATTGTATTCCTTGCGGAATAACCCTTCGAACAACGGTGCTTATGTAACATGCATTCATCGAAAATATGCTAAACCCAAAGCATTTTAAATTATTTCTTGTAAATACACTTCAATCTCATAAGCTATGTGATATTAATATCCAAACGTTCAGTTCTTTCTTACTTTTGATTTTTCATTAAGGTCCCTGCAAGCTCACTCGTCAGGTGAAATGTTTGATCGAATCACGATGACGTCCACATGCTTTATAGACGTGTCAAATTCTCATATCCCCGAGTTTGCGATGTATCTTTCATAAAAATTAGACCCTTTGTTATGAAGTTCACAACAAATAGTAAATATAAACGTAAAATGTGACAAGTGCGACTGGAGTGTGGTACACATCTTCTCATTGACACATACGTTGATGGACCGGTTAACCATTGTTCTCCAACAAATTAATATAATGTGAGTTACTTTCATGTTAGAGTCAAAGGGACGTGTACTACGTGTGATAACTAGATTGTAATAGATAATACTGTAAAGTGAATAAATAAACGTATGCCGCATATCGCTTGTCCATACATTATATTTACGATCAGAGTTGGTTACAGCAAGCAGTCTTTCTAGTAAACCGAGAACGCGTTATTGATTGTTTATTAATTAAGAAATTTTTGGCTGTTGCTAAAATAAGTTGTTGGTTTTCGATTCCCATTCTCGATAATCATAATAGAAATTCCTTCGTAGTACGCCCTACTCTTCTATATCCCTGTACTCTTTTATTTGCCTCGCGTTCGCCGTTCCATTTATCCTTGTCGAATTTTCATGTTTGAAGAAGTCAACTGCAAAATCATCCCATTTCCTGGCCATTGATTGATTTCTGCTGTTAGTTGGCATCAAGTTCGCTAATAAGATAAAAAAAAGTCATTTACGATTTCAATGCCGATATCTAAGATTGTTGCTAAGAGATTAATAATTACATTCTTTCTGGGAATCTATATACTGCCGAGGGATCGATATATCTACAAAAACACTATTGCATAACTATAACTAATACTTTTACAGACGGATAGAATGAGGACGCGCAAATTATACAAACCAGACGGTTTCAACTTGTCAAGCGTGCGCCATTGGTCGAATTTAAGTGCACTAGTTGTACTCAAATGACAATAACTATACCTTCCATCCTATAATTGATGTTATAATTAACGTATAATGGCGCCATGAACGAAACTAGTGCACGTTGACTTGCGTACCATTTTCTCGTTGTTTATTGAATATGCACCAAATGTAAAAGAAAAAGAATGATGATCGACAAATGCTTTTTCAACGAAATTTCAGGGGTCACGAGTTGAGTACATTTCAATATAATATTTTTCCATTCCATACGGGAATTCGCGTTTTATTTACCTTTGACTTATAACTGACCGGGCGATTAACTGCAAACACACTCCTCTCAAGTCATACGTAATGTCCACGCTATACAGTATTATCACGATCACGTGTGAAATAATCTCCCCTACCTTTTCAACTAACCAGCTGCCTAATTGTAATATAACCGCGGGTGCTGCTAATAAACAAGTTTGGTTTAGCGGCTTTCTCTCATAATAAAATAAGATGTTCTTTTACTACAAGGATTTTAAGCTTTTTTTTTTTTTTTTTGCAAATTAGATGAGCAGGAAGACGCGACAAATAACGCGACGTTATATTAGCATTACAGCCGTTACAAATTACATGTGCCTCTGGTTATAATGACACTTTCGGGAAATAAAAAAAGTGTCATGTCAGTTTATCCGTTGACCATAGACATTGTAATATGTATACGAGTAATTCATCAGTATCACTTATAAGTAATATTACTTATTTACGAACAAAAAATGATTCAGTTTTGTTTGTTTATAATCCTTTGAGAAACGAAAGTACAATTATACATTTGTTATGTGATATAAATGAGAAGCTGGCGTGGCTGAAGGTTACAGTGATAGTAACTAATTTAATTAATAGCATTTTGACTATCACAGTAACAACTTTTATGTAGCATACTTCTATTACTATCTAAAAATTATACATGCTAAATATTAATATAGGGCTATCTCTATATAAAAATATGAATATGAAACTAATTTACATTAAATCTACCATAGAACCAAAAAATTGTAGCATTATTAGAAGCATTCTAAAAAAAGCTCAAAGAGAAAAAATTGCACCTAATGTTTTTAAAATCAATGATTCTTAAACTCTCCAGGAATGTCTAGATAAAGAAAAAATCACTTATGAAATTTACCAAGAAGAACAAAAAATAAAAGCCATTAAACAAACATTAACCTCAACTTATGATGAACCAAGGAAAAAACAAAAGCTAGAAACATAAAGCAAAAAATCTAAATAATTATTTTCTTTTTATCAGGAGTATTATGAGCTACCATTGATGAGTAGCAAGAGCAGTATTAGTATCGGAGTTAAAGAGCGTCATTCTCTGCTATTTTCAGAATTCTGTATTCCAATCTCATATAATTTACTTATTCTTTTGAATAATAAAAGTTTAGAATTTCTCCTTAATTTTTTGAGTTTGCATAATCTATTTCTTTCTGTTTTTTAGGTAATTCTTTGGTTGCTGAATAATCTCTTCTGCTTATTTCTTGATCTTTATTTAACAAATTATTTTCCAATAACTTTATTTGATATATAAGCTTGCTCATTGCAGCATTGTGCTTTCAGACATTTGACGTTTTCTTCACCTCATAGCTGCATCCAGTGCCTTTTCAGCTTCTTCTCACTCCATTTCCACTTCATCCTCTAACTCTTCTATCCTTGTTTCTAATTCTTCTTTTTCTTGATAAGTAGAACTAAAAAGCCTCTTCATAATTTGTGCTTTGCTCAGAAAAACTTTTCACAACATTTTTAGGAGTGAATTCATTGCTAAAGACAACTCTTCCAATTTCAAATTCATTCTTTTCTGAATAACTTACTCAACCATTTTTAGGCCAAGATCTTTCTAAGGTTCTTAAAGCAGTACCAGTATATTCCGAAATTTCAGCAAGATTGTGAACTGCATTTCAAATTCTTAGTTTAAAGTTCTTTTTTTCATCTGCTAACTGTTTCGAGTTTTGTTATTATTATGTTTGCCATGCTTTTCCTTTTTATTTTTATTTATTCTGTTAATATACTTAATCCTTTTTATGAGAGTATATTATTAAGTATATAAAGATTTTATGATTTTCTTTAATGTATATGTAAGCTTTGAAATCCAGGAAATGTTTTTAAAAGATTAAACTTATTAGACTTAATATGGGGCAGACTGCAACAAAACCAGACAAAGTGAACATTTTATTATGTGACGTAAATGAGAGGCTTATTATTATGATGTGGCTGTAAATTGACCAGTGTGACAGAAAAATAATAATGGTGCTCATACATAACTTATGGACTTGTTAAATTTAATGTTCACTTTATCATGCCAGAATGTGATGAATATAAACCATAACGTGATTAATATAGGACTACCTCTACATAAAAAATATTAATATGAAACTCCCAAGAATTATGGCACTATTAGAAGCATTCTCACCACGCAGCAGCCAAAACTACCATGCCTACGCTTGAGTATTGGCAGCGAAAAGAGAAGGAAGCGAAGGACGAACTGGATAAGGCGAACGCGGCGTTGAAGAGTTTTCAGGAGTCGAAGTACGGAGAAGGGAAGCTGAATGAGCTGAGGGAAAGGAGGCGAAAGGAACCACTGATGACGGAGAGAGGCAATGGTTGAACAAGTTGAAGAAGAAAGAGGTAGATCTGGAGAACGCTGTGAAGGAGTGTAGAGAGGAGTGGCTCAAGAGCAAAGAGGACTTAAGACGTGCGAACGCTCAGCCAGGTAACGACTTTGTGACTCGGCGTTGGGGGCAGAGTAGTGTAACGACTTTGTGACTCGGGCGTTGGGGACATAGAGTAGTGTGTACATAGGGTAGAGTAGACAGAGTTGTATTTGGGAAAACGTTACAGTGTATAGCTAGAGTGGAAACTTTTTTGTTTCATGATGCTGTACAAAGGGTATAGCAGTCATAATATAGTTTTCATACATTGAAGAGAGTACAGATCACCAATTTTTTTCGTTGCAGCTAATATATTGCATACTGTTTTTTATTGAATATGTGCTATATGCATACACATTGCACTTTGCTCACTATTATTTATCATTTTGTCGCTACAATTTATCTGCCAACCAATCAAACTACTTTGCCCTTTTCACTAATGATTATCAGCTGCTCCTTAAGGTATGCTTTTTGAAATGCCAACTATTATCCTGATTATGGTTTGCTTTTTTATTATTTATTATTATCTTGCATTCAAAACTTACCCTTTTTTCATAGTTGCGACATTTGAAGCCATGATAAGAGAAGTTCTATCAAACTGCCAGAAATCCAGCAGTCCAATACAACTACCCTAACACCAATGCCTCTAAATGAGCATGATCTTGCAAAAGCCACCGAAGTAATAAAAGCAAGCATTGAATGAATGCTTTCAAATTCATTTGAATCATTGAAATGTCGTTTCCTTCTATGTGGTGGGGCTCCTGGCATTGGTAATTGATATTTTCTCTTTACCAGCTTCCTATTATCCAATTGGTATAAAAACTAAAAATTTCCATTGTTATATGTTAGGCAAAACACATTATGGAATTGATTTATCACATTATTTATTACAACAATGGCAGCCACCTTTCTTCTCTAAAACTATATCCATATTCCTTGACTTTAACAACAGCCTCCAGATAACTGATGAGGAAATTATTAATGATGCATCTGATGTCATCCTTGGTCTGCAGATTGC